GTCATTTTTGTTAAACTTCATAGTGGCTCTGTAGTTTGTACACAGGAATAAAATGTATGTTTATTTCTGTGTGGCTTGAGGAAGAGATGCATATAGCTACATAAATTATATTTAGGTACAATTTGAGAACTTATACCTGAGGAACATTTCTACAAATGCAAATATATGTTATTTATTTTGTGGTACTGGGGGGCTTTCTCAAGCCCTCATATATGCTAAGTGAATGCACTGAGCACTGAGCTAGATCCAGAGTGTTGAATTTTTTTAATCCATTTTCCAATATATTTTAAAGATCAGTTCCCATAAACATGATTTAATCTTATGACGAAATAACTTATGATTCTCTGAACTATTTTTTTTGTTGCTATGAGGACCTTTCAAATCTTTTTTTATTAAAATTTAAAGATAGGGGCTGGGGAGATGGCTCAGCGAAATAAGCGCTTCCCTGGCAAGTGCAAGGGCCTGAGTTCAATCCCTGGTTCTAAAGATAACTATGTGACACACATTGTTGCTTTTCTAGTTCTGATCATTTACTTGCAGCATATATACTTATTTCAATGCACCTTAAATCTGCGTAGGCCCAAAGTCCTCACTTGTGAAGCTCAGTGTCTTCATAACTGTTTGAGGATTTTCCTTTTCAATACTTCACATTTGTCTCTTTCTCTAAGAGCTATAAAGAAGAATTCTATGTAATGTTATCATATTTCTGGATTATGATATTTTATGAAACCAAATTTTCATATGAGAAAAAGGTTTGAGAAAATATGCATATTAGTTTTAAGTATGCCATAGTTATACAGGCTATATACTGTTTACTGAATGAATGGATGTGTAAGTCAAGAAATCTATACTGGTGTTTTTTGTGGTTCTTTATTACATGTTATTAGAATAATTTTTAAAATGAATATAATTTCCTACATGCTTTGGTATGCTCTATACTGCAAGTATCTGTTGAAAAACATTCTTTAAGAATAAAACAGAACACTATGTTCTTCCAGTACTTTTTTTTTTTCCGGAACCGGGGATTGAACTCAGACATTTGCGCTTGCCAGGGAAGCGCTTATTCTACTGAGCCATCTCCCCGGCCCACTTCCAGTACTTTTAAACTTGGGATCCACATTTGATTTATCAATAAGCTCTACATTCAGAGTTAGCTCTAGAGATAGAAACATACCTAGCTAAATGAGGGAACATTTGCGGAACAAACAGGACACAAGTGTCAAGCACCAGGAAAAGGTTTTCCATTTTTGTTTTATACAACACAGGGTTTTTAGGGAAGAAGTGTAAGATAGCCTAGGGCCAAATCATACAGGGCTGTGAATGCCTTCGTAAAGATATTAGTCTTTATAGGTCATCATTGAATATTTATGAATTGGAGGATGAGTATAATTAATAATATTTATTAAGTTCCAATGTGCCAAGCATAGCTCTAGCCATTAAGGATATGTTCCAATACTAAAAAGACAAAAAAATCTGTCCTTGTCGAGCTCATATTTTCATTAAGAGAAACAGCCTAAAAAGGGAAAGTATTTAATTTTGTTCAGTGTGTTAGGTCTTACTGGGAAAAAAAAAAGAAAAGCAGATCATGATAAAGCAAGTCAGGAATGCCAGGAAACTGTGGAGGAGACCAGTGTTTGCACTTAAAATACTATACGCAGAATAGGACACATTTGGCAAAATGCTTCAAAGAATATGAGGGGCAGAAGATGTATGGATAATGACAAAGAGCATTTCAGGCAGAGTGAAATGCCAGTGCTTGTGTCTTATGGCTTCACTGAGGAGTAGTGAGGTAATCTATGTGACTGAAACGAGGTGAGTGAAGGGAGAGGAGTAGCAGGATGAAGTTGGAAAGAGCTGGTGAGTATGCAAATCCACAGGGCCGGATAGGCCATGGTAATGCCTGATTGACTGTGGGGGGGTAGTCATTGTAACATTCTAAGCTGAGGAGTTATATAATCTGACTAGGTTTGATAGTCAGCTTTGCTGTTTTAAAAAATTAGCAGGGGCCGGGGAGATGGCTTAGTAGAATAAGTGCTTCCCTGGCAAGCGCAATGCTCTGAGTTCAATCCCCGGTTCTGCCAAATAAATAAATGAGTTAAAAAATTAGCTATAGAATAGCAAGGATGGAGATAGGTTAGCAGGTTAGTACAGAAATCTGATAGAGACAATTGGGGTTTAGCTGGAAGTGGTGACACAGGCATATAATCCTAGCACTCAGGGCTGAAGCAGGAAGATAGCTCTGAGTCCAGGCAAGCCTAGGCTACAAAGGTAGTTAAGGCCAGCCTGAAGTGCACTGCAATACTCTATCTCAGAGAGAGGTGGGCGTGGGAATTGGAGAAAGGCAGGGAGAGAGGAGGGGAAGGGGGGAGAGAATGGGGAGAAAGAAATGATTGGGGCTTAAAAAAGATTTCTTGATGGCTCTTAGGAATAAAGACCAGGGTGACATGGCAGTCTTAACTGCACACAAATGTAGTACAGGTGCTATTAACATAAGTGTTATCCTCTTATTTGTAAAATGAGAACTTTGGCCACATTGTGTTATTTCCAAAAATAAAAAGTAGTGAGGAGAGAAGTTTCAAGTCTTCCAAAATATGAGGTGGAAATACCACTAACAAGTTTGTCTTCTTTTCCTTTAAACCATCTTCCATGATTAAACTATCAATGTATTCAATTGATTTAGAGATTTGAAGGATTTCTAACATATGCATTAATATAGAGAATTTGACTAAACAAATTATATTTTCCTTTGATTTATGTTTTCACTTTGGAGGTACAGTACAAATGTGTTTCTTTTGAGTTTAAACCCTAAAAGATGGAAATAAAATGAAAGGCAGTAGTTTTTTTTTAAGAAGTCTATGTACTGTCTCTCAAAAACTCAGGTGGACAGGCATATGTATCCAGATGGTAGTAGGGGTAATTCAGGCATTTTTGTTGTTTTGGCATTTCGTTGTCTGATTTTGCATTAAAAGAAATGAAGCTTGTCATAATACATTAGTTTTATGTAACCAGGAAAAAAGCTGAACAGAAAATAGCTGGTATGGAAAGTTCTAAGGTGAAATCATCTTTCTTAAAATGGCTTTAGTTCTGGTATAAATAAAGCCCTCTCTTTTTCTTTTGCAATAAAGATTGATTGGGGTTTGTGATGAAATATAATACAGAGATTAGAAGTTTTCATCCCTGAGGGAATCAGAGGACTCAAAGTTTGAAAGGACCTATACATATAATAGTATATTTGCCTTAGCTGTTCTAGGGAAGGTTGATTTTTAACAGCACAGGGTTGGTGATATTGGAAAACAGTTTTCTGAGATCCTGAGACTCATCTATTCTAATGTACTTAAAACTTGTAATGGAATCCTTCTCTCCAGGGACAGTACTGGAATTTTTCTAGTAAAGAATGTGAACATGCACAACCAAAATAATTCAGCTTCTTTTGTAAGAAACAAATGTCTGAAATGTAGAAGAAAGGTTAAATCCAATGCCTAACTGGCAATTTAAAAGTGTGGTTGTTTCGTTTTACATGCACCTATTAATGGACACTTCAATGTATAGTCATGCACTCCATAATGAAGCTTCTGCCAGTGATGGGATCTCATATATGATTATAGTCCCTTAATATTATGTCATCTAGTGACATTATAGTCATCTTACTCTGAGGTGTTCATTCACTAATGGTTTATTTAATATACATTTGTCAGAGCATATCCCCTTCATTATATGACATTTTTTTCATATATAGTAAGAATTTCACTTCCTACTTATCATATTATTATAGCATCTTGAGATATCTCCTTAATCATGAAAGAGTACTGAATTGTTAGGAATTGATTTTGTTGTACATTAATTAAGTAGTAATGCTCAAATATATTGTTCTTTTTATGTATTTAGTACAGGGTGTACTGGATCTCATGACACAGATCAGACTTGTAGTGATCCTTCTGTTTTCAGCCTCCCAAGTGCTGGGATTACAGGCATGTGTCACCATGCCCAGTCTCAATCGCCATCTCAGTGTGCCCTGGGGGTGGGGCTGACACAGCATGCCAGGGATTGAACCCCAGTCCCTGCACCTGCCTAAGCAGGCACTTTAGTTCTCTGAGCTTTCTCGCTGGCCCTGTAGTTCTTATTAAATACATTAATTTATTAGCTACATCATTTCCCAGGCATCTCAGTATAGTATTAGAAGTTTAAAAGCACATGCAAAAAATTGTTATATTTTGAGCAATTGGCATATATTATCAGAATCACAAATTTTATTCAGTTTTATTTAGAATGTTTATAAAGATGTCCATAAGGCCAAGCTATTATGCTATTATGTGCCCATCTGTAGTCCCAGCACTCAGGAGGCTGAAGCAGAAGGATCACCATGAGTTTGAGCCCAGCCTGGACAATATAGTGGGTTTAAGTCCAGCCTGAACTACATAGGGAGACCATGTCTCAAAAAAGCAAACAAAAGAATGGTGTCCTTTAAAACTCTATTAGATATTACACTGAGTTCTAAGATCAAGATGTTACATTATATTGTACTAATATGCATTGTGATATTTTTCTGGTTAAACATTTTTTAAAAAATCGGTATTTTACATGTATATATCATTTTCACCAATAAAAATAATAAGCATGAAAATTTTGCATATGAGTATAAATGATTAGACATCTTTAAAGCATGATTATTCATTCTAAAATTTTAAAAAATGGCAGGGGCCTATTAATTCGCTTCATTTCTTTCTCATGTTTTGAACATTATGATATTGACATCTGGTCTATATATCTGGCTTTGGGATGTTGGAATAAATATTTAAAAATAGATATTCCCCATGTTAATTTTTAATATCTAAAAAGTTTTTTCATTTTGTAAATTATATGTTTATATGATAGACCTTCTAATTCCTTTTAATACCATTGATAAAATTAAAAAATGATGCTCATACAATTATTATGTTGTTTGATCTATGAGTGTATCTTGTCTGACTGGTATTCTTTTTGTTTCTTTTTGGTTTTAATAGAACATTCAAATAAAAACTTTGGCAGATGATGTGGTAAGGTGGTCTTAGCAGCATGTTACTGTATTACTTATGCATGTTACGTTTTATTAAAATGGGTGGACATTAAAGCATTGACATATGTAAGATATAAAATATGTAGATTTTTACAAAATATAGTAGAATTTTTCAATATTAACATGTGCAATTGTATAAGATTCTAAGAAAATTTGGATATCATCATCTTGATACAGTCCATGAATAGTTGACTTAAAAATTTCTGTATAAAATTTAGACTCTGGAAAACATAGACATTTGCTAATCAAATCACAAATATGTTAAACATTATCAGATGAGATTAATTTTAAATAGAAAGGAAAATAAGTTCATTCTACTAGTCATGTATATACTATTGAATTTATAACCCTTAAAGATTTTCAAACTCCGTCTGTCATAGTAAAACTTATTAAAAGTTATAGGCTCAAAATTTAAATGTGCTCTTTTATAACTAAACTTTAACATTGATATTTTAAGCAATGTCAGTGTATTTCTCAGTGAAATTACCTATCTATAAATAATGGAAATTAGTGTTGGCACTCTAAAGAGATGAAAGTATGGAGTTGACTTCATTTTTTTTAGCAAGGTACAGCAGAACATGAAAATGAAAAGTGAAATGCTTCCTAGAATAAGCAGAATTTTTTAGATAAAAATGAAGAACATAGTGAAAGATCAAATCTATGTGTTAGTAATACTGCTTGGTAAAAATGATAATACTTTTTAAAAAGTGATAATACTTTGAAAGTAAATGCTGTAAAGGAAATGGAAAGGAGGTATGTTAATATAATGGTCAATTGCATATTTAAATGCTTTCATGTCCACTGTATCTTTTAGTGAAATTTGATTGTTGTATATGTACTCAGCTTATTTGGGATTACCTAATACTTTTTCCTTGACCAATGTAATTCCCTCAGAGAGTTAAAAACATTGAAAATGTAATTGAGGATAATTCAGTGAAATGAATTTTACATTAATATGAAGACCAAGGTAGGAACCAGGGTCTCATGAATGTGGGTATGTCACTTTTTCCATAAAAAAAGGCAGTTGGTATAGAAGAATTTTCGTATTTTTTTCCTAACTCTAAAATGCTGGTTTATATTATCTCTTTGTAAGCTGCTACATATTTAGCTCATTTTTGTAATCCCAAATAAGCTGCTTATAACAGCTCATATTTTTTTCAAAGTACACCTTTTAGTTAAAAGTGTGTTCTTTGAATTAATAAAAGATATGTCCCTGGAGTGTGGAGCGGTCAACATAATTTTACATAAGCTATGGTAATAACATTTTTGATGTGTTTTGTATTGTTGAAGTAATTTCTAAGGACTCTGGTAACATGGCAGTGAACACCCACTGTCCTCATATCTAACATACCTGCTTATTTAACACGAGCTGTGTGCATGTGCTTCCTAACAGAAACCAGAATAAAACTGAGTCCCATTCAGTTTTATGTACATTACTAATTTTTGATGTTCAGTGTTTTAAATTACAATGGCTTGTTTATGTGGAACTTATTATTTTCTGTAAAAGAGTAAGCTTAGTTTTTAGACATTATACATGGAATCGGTTGTTCCAAATTCATAATAGTATTTCTAAGAATAAGATATTGTTTATGCTGCATTACATGTAGATGGAAAAGGTGATGTCTTTATTTTTGTTTTCCTTATTGACCTCACTTTTTGGGGAAGAAAATGTTGAGAAAATAGTAATAACAATGACAATGGCAATACTAAATAGCAGCTGAGTTTACAAACTATAGTATTTAAATGTCTAATAACCCTATGGCATAGGTAATAATACTGTCCTCATTTTAGAAAAGAGGAGATCATCGAGAAAGAATGCCAAAGTTCATGGGGTTCCTCAGTTAATGGCTGAGACTGGACTCAAACCCAGCTAGTCTGGCTTCAGAATTCATGCTCTCAGCCATTTTACTTAACTGCTACACTGAATGATTTTCATATACATTTGTCACAGTTTTTGTACTTGAAGACAGAAATTGTCATAATTTCTCTTTAGAACTGGCTATCAGTGGCTCTCTTTATTTTTTTTCTTTGTTTCACATTTTTAAAGTTGCTACAACAGAAAAATTCACCCTGAAACAACCACAGCATTTTGATTTTCTTTTCATCTTCTGTTAAACAGACATAACAGGTGACTAAATTTTACTTTTGAGGAATGCTTCTCACCTCCAGACTTCTGCAGCTGAAGTCTTACTTGAAGGTTTCCCAATAGCATAATCTCCTATTGGAGCTTGCTGCTTAAAATAACATTGTGTCAAGAGACAGTAATGATCTGTATTACATTAAGTGCCATTTTGATATTTCACTTCTTCATGTTCATGTCTCTTGATCTTTTTCTTAGGGCTTTATTTTTTTCTGTTTGCAGCGTGATCGAATTACAAGTTTTAGAAAATCTACAGTCAAAAAAGAAAAACCTCTTATTCAACATCCTATTGATTCTCAAGTCGCGATGAGTGAGTTTCCAGCAGCTCAGCCATTATATGATGAGCGATCTTTGAATTTGTCGGAAAAAGAAGTACTGGATCTCTTTGAAAAAATGATGGTAAGTTACAGCTCTAATTGTGTTGTGATTTTAAAAGGTATGTGTATGTGGGTGTGTGTTTCTAAAATGGCAGTGGATTTAGGTAGGTATGTTTGTATGGACTATGTTTCTGTCATGCAAAGGACAGAAGAGAAACTTGTTTATGCAACAAAAGTTTTTGTAAAAGGAACTGTTTTTTGAGTTAAAACAGCCTTACCTGTCTCTCTTGCACTATGAGCTCCTAAAAGCAGGGATACTTACTTTTTCTCTGTAGTGGCTGGCACATTGATCACATATTCAATGACCTCATTTTTGTGTTTATTTCTACAAAACAAAACAGGCCCAAGTCCACAGTTCTTTTGGGGCAAAGGGTGAGGGAAGAGTAAAGGGAATAGAGGAATTAGCTCATGCTTTTGTTTTATTAGCAATAGTCATACAGCAGCATTTATATTTTCTAGCTTGTGATCTAAATTTATTTTTATATTAAATAGTAAATATATTACTTTTAAAATGCAGCTCTTTATGCTAGAAGAATGAGCCATTTTGCTATATTGCATTTTTTATTTTGACCAGAGAAGAATTGGAGATCCCGATCCATGATTCATTAATTGAAATTTCTATCTTACTTATTCCTATTAATTCTGTGTAAACAAATTTATAAATCTGTGCAGTATTCCTATCCTTATCAAATAAGCCCTTGCTTCATTTTCCAGTGTTTAATGATCAGCCAAAGGTCCTCAGTTTACTACACACTGTCCTACCCTAATTGCTGAAAATGACCATAAAAGAAAACAAACATTTATTGAGACTCAATATTTTATTCTTTTGAAATGTTCTTGTCTTCACTCTGAATTTACACTTAAAGCTTTAACCTGCTTGTCTGTTTAGTTACTAGTTTTTGCAGTACTGGAATAGGTAAGAGTTCACCATTGGCTTTGCCATAGTCCAGTTCTCTTAAGCTTAACTCTGCAGTATCATTTTCCACTCTGTTTTTAATTTAGATGGTACCCTATGTTTTGGTATGGTACTCTATGGTATGGTATGGTATGTTTTTGTGGGAAAAGAGCCAATTTCTAAAATTAAATAAATTCCCTGGAGGGAGTGATGATCCTGGGTAAGGGTGCCTTAGCCCTGGCTGTGCTCAGCACTGCTGGACTTCAGCAACCCACTGCCCATCCTCCTTACCCTCCTGGGTCTTCAACAGGCCAGGCCCCAGGCTGATATCCAGGGGACCCAGGGCCTAAGAGGTAAAGAAGTTGGAAAAGTATGGGTGCTGAGGGCCTTCTCTGCTGAGATGTGTTGTGCAGGACTACACTTGAGGAGGTTCTGCAGTAAATCCTTTCCTGTGGCATTGAGCTTGGGCCTGGCCTTCACCAGAAATGTTGTTCTGGGTATATTGGGTAGGGCCTTCAGTCTGACAACTTGGTCATGGTTAGCCATTGCTACTTGGTTGGTGTCCCAAGAAACTGGAACATCCTCTTCAGCTGGACATCCTCACTGTTGTCAGGTGAAAGAGGCCATGTGGCATTGGTGAGCTCTACAAAGATGTAGCTCACTGACCACATGCCAATGGATGTGTGGTACAGCTTGGTCCCAAAGAGGACATCCTGTGGGTGGTAACACAACATGATCATCTTGGTAGAATAGCAATGGAATGGGATCCCAAAGATATGTCAAGGTGAAGCCAGCCAATTTCAGTTCTCCATTCCTGTTTATGAGCAGGTTCTGGCTTTAGGTCCCTAAGCCACACACTGGGCCTATGACAAAATCCCAGGAATTTCTTCAGCTGGAAGAAGAATAACTTCATAGTCTGTGGATTGAGCTCACTGTTGCAGCTGTTAAAATACTTTTTCAGGTCCTGATCCCAGAACTTGAAAAGCAAAGTCAACTTCTTAGTACTATGAAGCGTAATGATGTTTTTGTGCTTTAGCATTTTGACTAGGTAGATAGCTCTCCCAGAGTGCTAAACTGTGTACAGCCTCATTGTGTTATCCAGCCTCATGTGCTTCAGGACCACAATCTCATGGGCCACCTTGATTTTGGCCTTGAGCACTATTCCATAGATGCCTTCCCCAGTCTGCTCAAATTTCTCATATTTCTAGATTGCAGAAGCTGCAGGGCCCAGTGGGTTCATGGTTCTGCTATCCTTTAGTTATCTCTTGTGGTTCTTAACATAGCTCCCTATCTGGTCCTTCCATCTTCAAGATGTTGCATATTCAAGGTGTTGCCCCTACTTTATGGGGCAATTTTATTATTGCCCCATTAGTAATTCTGAAATAGTTCTGAAGCCCCAAGTTGGACTGCTAATTTGAAGTGCTTTTATACTATAATTAGCTAGCATTTAGAGTATTATATGCATATAAATTTAAAATCATCACTGGAGATTGATATACATGTGTATTTAATTTTTTTATTTATTTATGTGGCACAGTATCTTGCTACACAGCTCAGACTTGTAGTGATCTTCCTGTCTCAGGCTCCCCAGTGCCAGTTTCAGTGGCCGACATGGCACACCTGGGGTTCCAGGGCTATTATGGCACATGGTACCAGGAATTGAACCCAGGTCCTTGCACTTTCCAGGCAGGTACTTAGACCACTGAACTCCTACATGACTATTTTGAATAGTTTCCTTAATAATTCTAAATCTTGTGGGGATAGCTTCATATCCTTATTTTTTGTTGCTTTTACTATGTGTTGATAGATAAAAGACTCAGAATTATAAGTAGGAGATATAATTGGCTAACAGTTCTTGTTTTTTCATGCTTATTTTATTGGTATTAGGTTCTTCTCAATGTTTTGTCTTTCAGGGCACAATTAGGGCTCATTTTTCATTTTGTGAGGGTTAATTTAGTCAATAATACATAATATAATCAATAATTCTATCTGGGGCCGGCCAAATAGCTCAGCGGATTAAAGTGCCTGCAAGCAGGCACAGGGGGCAGGTTTGATCCCCAGCCCTGCCATGCCAGTCCTACCCCCAGGACACACTGAGAAGGCAATTGAGACTGGGCATGGTGGTGCGGGTCTGTAATCCCAGCTCTTGGAGGTGGTTAAAAAGGTGGATCACTATGAGTCTGATCTAGTAGTGACCCTGAACACCCTGTAGACCGTTCTCTAAAATACTAAATAAATAAATAACTCTACTAACCTGGTACATGCTAATTGCAGTATGTTGTACTACGCTGAGAGAAATCTGAATTGTGAAACCCCACTGTTCCCTAAGCTACTTGAACAAATTCTTTGCTTTTTACATAGATACGTTACCTCTTTTTTGTGTGTGTGTGGTACCAGGGATTGATCACATAGATACAAATGGCAAGTAAATACATGAAAAAAATGTTCAACATCATTGATCATTGTAGAAATGTAAATTAAAAGAACACTGAGATTGTATCTCACCCCAGAAACAATGACTAGCATCAAGCAGTCAGACAATAACAAATGCTATAGAGGCTGTGGAGAAAAAGGAACCCTTCTCAACTGTTGGTAGAAGTTCAGATTGGTACAAGCCCTGTTGAAATCAGTGTGGAGACTCCTCAAGCTAGGATTGGAGGTCCCATGGAACCCAGCTATTCACCTCCTGGCTACTTTTCCAGAAGAACTGAAAATATTATATCACAGTGATATATGTGCACTCATGTTTATAACAGTGCAATTTGTCATATCTGAATCTTGGAAACAAACCAGATCTCTATCATGTGAGCAATGGATAAAGAAAATGTGGTATTTTTATACAATGGAGTAGTACTCAGCTATGAAAAAGATAAACTTGAGGTTTTTTAGGTAAATGAATGCAACTAGAGACCATATTCATAAATAGAATAAGTCAGACCCACATGTACAAACATTATCTTGTCTCACTAGTGTAAGAACCTGAAAGTGTAAATAAAATCTGAGAGGTACAATAGATACTGTGAAAAGGAAAGAATGTGTTGAGATGGCAAGAGCAAGTGGGATGAGGAAAAGGACAAAAGAAAAAAGCAAGGAAATACACACACACACACACATATATATGATATCTTCGATAATTGTGTCACTGATTTCTGCTGATCTATTGAAAAGAGCAGTTAATGCTCATTTTTGTCTCCTTTTTACTCTCTTATAACTTTTTTTAAAGTTTATTTATTTATTTATTTATTTAGAGTGTGTGTGTGTGTGTGTGTGTGTGTGGCCATCTCAGCCTACCAGGGGGCGGGGCTGGCTGGCATGTGGTGCTGGGGGATTGAACTGCGGTCCCTGTGCTTTGCTAAGCTTGTTCTAAGTAGATGCTTTAGACCACTGAGCCATCTCACCAGCCCCTCTTATAACTTTTTAAACCAACTCTGCATGCTTATATCTGGTAATATAAACAACTAATTTGAAGACAACATTGTGTGATATAACAACCATTGTTGGCTTCCTATTTTAGTAAAACTGTATTGTTTCTAATGATATTTTTTGCTATTTTTTTCTCTTTAAAAAAGAACAAAAAATTCATTAGTTTAAATCCTTATAGTAATCAAATATATTTATCTTAGTCATTTTCCTGTCACTGGGACAAAATACAGGACACCTGAAAGCTGAAGGAAGAAAGGTTTATTTTGGTTCAGAATTTCAGTCCATGGTCTACTAACTCCCAGGGAGAAATGGTGTGGCCCAAGGGCCTGGAAGAGCGCGGCTGTTCATTCTGTGCCAACGAGGAAGGCGAGCACAAAACAAGTAACCAGGGACATGAATATGTGTTTCCAGGCCACACCTCCAATGATCATCTCCAACCAGGACCCATCTCCATTTAGCACATTGAGCTGCTAACCTTACTAGTGAATGTGGGGCACTGGGATCCAAATCACCTTCTACAAAAGTAAAATTTTTAGGGAACAGTTGAGCTCTACACCAGAACCATAATTGTAATCATTGTTTATGTGAAGATATATGTTTTGTCAGCATGTCATTAATCCATTGTCTTCAGAGGTACAGATATTGCAATCTAAACAAGGAAGAAGGGAAAATAAAAATGAAGGTTTTGGCTCAAGGAGATAGCT